AAAAAAAAAAAAAAAAAAAGCTCACACAAAGAGGACAAAGAGGTACAGGAACACTCAGGTATATGTATTTCAGGGTTCCATCTAAATAAAGACCCAGTGATTTATAGGGATTTGGTACTTTGCATTCAGCTTCCTCCCCTCAAGCTCTATCTTCCAATTCTCAAGTATCTCCCTGTGTGAGAAAATGCAATGGCACTCTCTTTCCATTTTTTTGGTTCCAACCTCTTTTGAGGGATTATCTGTCTTTCAAGCCTCACCTGGAAGGTGAAGAAAACTCCTGCTGGAAAATGTCCTCCAACTTCTCTACTACCTCGTCAGTGCTGAGGGGGATGAGGCTACCGTAAGTTTGAAGGAATTCATCCAAGATGCCTAAGTGAAGGAGAGAAGAACAGGTTGAAGCCTCCAGACTCTGATCTAAATGCTGGCTGCAGAAAGCAGCCTAGGTCCTCTAGGGCTTACTCTGCACACAGGTCACATGTTCCTCCCGCAGGGGGCTGTGCTGGCCAGCTTTCTCCCCAGGCCGCTCTGTCTCTTCCACAGTGCCCAAATCAGAGCCCTGAAAAAGCTCCTGAGCTCCATGGTCCCCAATGCTGCACACATTGCTGATGAGTATGCTGGCGTCAGGGGGTGCCAGGCTGCGCTCTCCTTCTGACCCTGGTGGTCCCCCAAAGCCATTGGGCAGGGTACATGAGAGGAGGCCTGTAAAGCAAGGGAAACAGGATGAGAATGAGCCCCATGTTACAAGAACAGGGGAAAATTAACTGATGCATACATACAGTAAGACTACAAGAAAAACAAATCGAAGCACATCTACTAATATAAATCTCTACAGCATAGAGACCCTACAAGATAAGGATAACTATGAGGTTCTAAAGGGAATGAGAGTGGGAGTTCCAATTCATAGACGGAAAGCAAGAAAAAGACTAGGATTCAGAGAGATGTAAGTCTCAGGAATATCTGTCACTACTATATGCTTAACACAATACCCAGAGTATATAATAAAAGGCTCAATAAACCCTTGGTCATTTTAATAAGGATGTTAAAGTGGTTGGGGTTTGTCTAAAGGAAAAATATTTCACAGATAAGTACCAATAATGTACTCCATTCCCGAGAGAGGTCCCATGCCACCACAGTAAGAATGGTGCCCTGTGGAGATGTACATGTGGGGACTCATGCTGAGAGGAGAAAGAAGGATTTGGAACACACAAGTCTGATTTCTAAACCACAGCTCCTTGTCTTACTTAGAGGTTCTGTTTCCTAGCCCTGTCAGTCTCCCAGGCAAAGGCTTATTTCCTACTAATAATGAGGCATAATGAAGGTAACTCACAGCTAGTCTGGACCCCACTGTGCTTCCATTGGGCTCACTTTTCACTACAGCAGACTTCAGCTGCTCCAGGCTTTTAGTCCTCCCCCACCCCTAACTCCACCCCTTTCCCATCTTACCCGAGTCAGGGTCCAGAGGAGACTTTGGAGTCCACCTTAGTCCATCTTCCTCCATGGGGGGCCCAGAGGGCATTGGTAGAGACCCTCTCACCCCATCCTCAGCCATGAGAGCACCTAGCAGACCCAGCCGGGGTGGGGGTGGTCCCCGGGGGGAGTCAAAACGACAGCAGGGGGATGGCACCTGTGGCGTTGCACCCCCTTCCTGGGGTGAGAGATGGTTCTTGGGGTGTGCAAAACTTCGCCGCCGGCCCCGATGGCGCCCCCAAAGCTTCCAGTGGAATGTCAGCGAGGTGCTTTTTGAGTAGAGCAGCATCTGGAAGGCTCTCAAGGCTCTACGACGGCGCTGTGAGCAGGTTTTTCGATGAGTAGGACGGGAAGGGCGAGGCCTCTGGGAGGCTCCCAGCTGACCCCATCTAGGGGGAAGCCTCCAAGCTGCCACTTCCTCCTCCTCATCTTCATCTTCTTCCTCCTCCTCCTCTTCCTCCTCTTCACTGACTGATGCATCGAAAGAGGGCCGAGGGACAGGGAGGCGTCTGGCTGGCACTGTGGTCCCCGACCCAGGATCAGGCCCAAACCCTCCACCTGACTTGAGCCGGGGTTTAGGGGGAAGAGGCCAACGAAGACGTTCCCGCCTGGGGCTTGAGTAAGCTGTACCAGGTCCAGGAGGCTCAAGCCCCCATGACCCGGTGTCTTGTATAGTCTCTTTCATCTTCCAGCACCCTGTAAAACAAAGATTAGAATATCAGAATCCAATCATCTCTCCCCTGCTCCCAGGCCTAACATTAATCTGTCCCTTGTCCACGGAGGGAAAATGGTTAAAGGGTACTGCTCATGGAACTTATTTCTCATCTCCCGGTGTGAAAGCACGTGTTTTGGGGTTCTGCCTCTTTAATACCACCAAGGGTATCTTTTGAGAGCCTGCGAAGGGCAATTTTGCTCAGAGTTGGCCTGGCACAGGAATGCCAACACGAGAAAACACAACTTTCAAAAGGAAACTGTTTCAGAGTGTTAAGACGTCTCTCACACGGGAACGAATGCGGGGGAGGGGGGCTGTGGGCACGCTGCGGTCATCTGAGTTGGGAATAGGATGCCAGGCTATGGGCTCAGGAAGAAGAGCGATGAAAGGGAGGAGGTTTTGGAGGAAACTGAATCAAAGCGCTGGGTCTGAAGCGAGGAGCCCAAGCCACGCCGACCCAGCCCCCAGCCTGGCTCATCCCCGGGGACGTGAAGGCGTCCTAGCACCGGTATGGTTGTACAAGCTGGGTCGGTTCGCTGCACATGGCTCTTAAGAAGCCCTTTCGAGAACCTCTCAGCCAGGGTTGGTGGGAGCGAGTCGTAGGAGTGGAAGAGGCCACGCAACGCTGGGGGAGGGGAAGGGGCGTCCTCACCGGGAGCGGGGAAGCCGGGCGGACGGGCCCAAGGCGGGCGTCTCCGCCTCAGGCTTCCCGGCTCATCTCTCCGGCGACGGCGGCGGCCCCGCCACTCCTGCTGTCTTCAAGCGGAGCCGTCTCAATTCAGGATTCTAACGCTCCTGGGCCGCGCGCCGCGCCGCCCCGCCGCCGCCACCGCCTCTTGCTAGGCTTCAGCCGCCACCTCCTCCTCCAGCGCCACCACTACCACCACCACCTCCCCCTCCTCCTCCTTCCCCTCCCGCGAGCCCCAGGCCCACCGGCGGCGAGGGCGCACGATTAAGACGTCACACCCGGCGAACGGCGCCGGCGCGGCTACCACGCGCGTAGTCCCGCCTACCCGACAACGTAGGAAGGCGCTGGGACCGTCCCGCCCTCTCCCCCTTCGGCGCTGCGCTTGCGCACACCCGCCGACCGAGCCGCGCGTGGCCACCGCACCGCGCTCCGCTTTGCGCCTGCGCGTTCCGTGTCGCCTCCCGCCCTGCGGGCGCAGCTCTGTCGTCTTCCGCTCTCGTGAGGCAGAGCTGGAAGCCCCAGTACCCGGGTTCGGTGGGGCGGGGCGCTGGGGGAGGTGGAATCAGCTTTCAGTCAGTCTGGATTGCAGGTCTCAGAGGCCAGGCCGGATCCCAGCCTGGAGGGACTGGAACCGACGGTCCGCCTTCGTCTGGCAGCCCTTGCACACGAATGCTTAACAACAGATAGGTCTCCGGAGCTAGGGACCGGAACTGGACCCCCCCGTAGCTGAAGAGGCTCAGTGAGGCTGAGGCTTCTTGTGGGGCGAAGAAGCCGACCCTACTTGGAGAGAGGTGTGGTTTAGGGAGTTGGGGGGGAGACTTTGGGGACTTGGGTGGCGGCGAAGTGGAGGCATTTCCTCCATCTGCCGCTAGATGGCGGTGCGGCCCTGGATGCATTCCAGCGGAGCCACCCGGCCCGGACAATGCCTGGCACGGGTCGGGCGCCAGCCCCCACCCCCTGGACACACAAGAATTGAGGGCTGGATAGGAAATCAAAAAAGAAAAAAAGATCTTCTATCTCTTTCATACCTAGCCAGTCAAACGGTGAGAGTGGGAAAGAAAAAGGGAGCACAATGATGAAGTCAAACCTAAATAGAGGCTTTGTTTCTACACGGTCCTTGTCCTTTGTCTAGGCAGCTCTTGGCTGTCTTCAGTGTCTACCCACAAAGAGGTGCCCACACTGGTCTCAGTTCAGAACCACCTTTTATTAACACAGTCACAGTCTCACAAACCCTAGAAAGGTTCCATGTGGAGAGAGGCTAAGTTTGGCCTTTGCCCGAGGAATTCTGACATTGACAATATCCCCTTGGTGTAAATGGAAGACACCTGAGAAAAGAATACGATGTTGTTAGCAAAATGAGTCCCTTCCCATAGTTCAGTCCACTCCTTCCCTTCTCCACAGCTTAGCATGCTCCCTTCCTAGCCAACACTAGGCCCATGTGGTAAAAGCAGTAAATAATCAACTTCCAGCCCCCTTTACCTTGGGATGGCACTTACCTTGGGATGGCAACAAGAGCCCCTTAGAGTGACCTTCAGGTCTGGGCAGTTGCAGGACCCCTTATCGACTATTTGAACAGCAGCCATAAATCCTAGTCCACCATGATGAAGCCCCTGGTCCACACGTCCACACCAGGGTCTTCCCCTCTTCCAGCCCCCCCTAAACCTCCTAGGTTATATAGGTCACCCCAGACAATAGCTGGTGCTTCTTCTCATTCCTCCCTTGTGAGAAGGAGTCTGCCAGCCCCTCTTTCCCGGCAATAAACTTTCTTTGTTCTCTGTACCTGGATGTCTGCATGGTTCTCTGGCAAAGTCTAATTAATCTTTTCTAAGCTAAGAGATGTTAAGTGAATCATAGCTATACACATACTCTAGTTTTCCCCTGCCTGTTAGAGCTTGACTATTCTATTTCCCATAAAGACCTAGGCGTTTTGTCTCTTCTTGCCATGTGCCTCTGAACCAGCCTCCAGCCCCTACTACACCTCCCCTTGCCACTACCCCAAGTAAGCCATGTCCTTGGCTCATACCCACTCTTCCACTTCCAAACGGCCCTCACCAGAGCTGAAGCAGCTATTATAGGCCCGGTCAGGGTCAGAGGGCATACTGTGTATGCATCGGAAAAGAATCTCTTGCCTTCCCTGGCCTTCCAGGGATACCACCTGACCCATGGTGAAGGTCACATCATGAAACAGGACCTGGCAAGAAAGGGAGATGTTAAAGCAAACCAAGTTGGTATGGCTCAATTCTGGGAGGCCTTGGGAGTCCTGACATAGGAGCCAGAGAATGAAGAAGGGTCTTATATGGACAGAGAGATTGGTAATCCTAAGTATGGGCATACAGGCTTTGGGAGAAGAGCACAAAGTCAGCCTCCAAGCTCCTGTGGTGAGGTTCAGGGTATGTCTGGAGTTACCTGGCTATACAGCAGATAAATTCCAGCTTCCCACACTCGGACAACATGTCCTTGGGCCTCCAGGCCTCTCCCACGCCAAAGAGCTGGTTGCCACATCACCTCGGTCACATCAGAGTCCTCTGGAGGGGAGGAGGGTGGCTGGTCAGCATTTCTTTGCATTCGCCGACACTGAGCCAGCTATCCCCTGTCCACTTGTGATATTCTTCTGGGCCCACCTGCCAGCCCCAGAATTCCTACTTTGTGCCCCTCCCCAATGCCATTATTTAAAATATTGCTCACCCTTGGAGGTGATGTTAATGGGAACAAGGTGCAGAACTGAGTGCTTCTCTGAGGAGAGAAGGGGGAAGTCTCAGCAGTGTCCACCTGCTCCGGGTGCCCTGGTGTCCCCTCTCCACCCTCACCATGGCTCAAGCTAGCAATCCCCCTACTGCCCTTCCAAGGCTCACTTTTCCGATTATGAGTGAATACTGCTCTCCTTCTCCGAGATCGCCACCCATCCTCCCAGGCTTCCAGGGCATCAGGGCTCTGCTTCTAACAAGAGGGTCAGAGTGAACACAAAGGTTCAAGGGTCCCAGAAAGCCCTCCCTACCACTAGGAACACCTCAGGTGTCTTATATGCTTTTCCCAGTCCCCTGTATCTCGGTGCTGGCTGCCCTCCAGGGTCTGTTAGGTACAAGAAGCATTAATCTTTAACAATTTCTCTTCCCGGAATGGCCACTCCCTTGACTTCCCAACCCAGACCTCTGCTTGCACACAACTTGAAATTTTGCAGACTGGAAGGTCAGACCTAAAGAGGCCAGAGACTCCCCTCCCCTCCCCCCTCCCCCCCCTCCCCGGCCCACCTTTCATCCTCTTCCACCCCTATCCCTGTCTCCCTTCACTTACTTGTTCCTGGAGGCTATGCCAGAAATACTCTTCCCCCTTCTGGGAGGGCCCTCTGCTTCTCTGTAGTCGGCTCACCTCCCTCCTTAGGTGTTGCAGCTCTGTTTGTTGGGTCAGCAAAGCAATGGCACAGGCTATCACCCCCAGAGTTGCCCCCCAACTCAACCAGAGAGCAACGGAGAGTGCCGGCTCTCGGGTTGGACCACCCATGTGGCTCAGGGGTGCTTTGGGGGCTAGCAAGAAAGGAGATGTGGCTATCATAAGCCAGAGACCCTAACAACAGCTGGGGCCTCCTAAATGGGGTGGGAAGGAGGTGATAAGGAGCGGGGGTACAGGCAGTAGTGCGGAAGGGAAGGTAGTATGACGCAAGGGAGAAATTAAAAAAAATTGAGAATTAAAAAAAAAAAAAGATGGAGGAAAGAAAAAAGCAAGCTGGGGGAACTATCGGTGCTCCTGGCACTCCGTTGTGAGGCTAGTGTCATCGGGAGTCCCCAGTCTCAGGAGAATTTGGTGCCATTCTTTCTAAGAAGGACTGGGCAGCCAGTGACACCCAGGAAGAGCGGCCAGAGCTCAGGGACCCAGGGGCGGCCCCAGAGTTGAGGGAGGGAAGGTTGACTGGCTCTGGGGCATGGTGCCAGGAGCAGGGATGGAGGCAAAGCTGAGCAGCGTTGAGGGTTGGTTGGGTGTGGGGGGAGGTGAGGGTAGAGACCTTGGGGTTTGGACATGGGCAAGGGCTCTGAGGAAGTTTTCTTGTTGTGACTTGAATGTGGGGTTAAAGAAGAAGAAAAAAAAAAGGGTCATAAGGGTCGGTAGGGAGAAGACCCAAAGACAAGAAACTGGACGGGTGCTGGGGTTAAGGCCCGACTGGGCGTGTTGGAATGAGGCCTGCACTACTCCCTGTGCTGAACTTGGCAAGCAGGACTTCCTGTTTCTCAAGAAAAGCTCTTACATAAGGCTTTGGACAAAGAGACAGAAAAGCAGTCCCAAACCCCTCCAACTATTACAGGACACCTCCCCAGGACCCAGACGCCCAAGGGCACATGTGCCTAGGCCCCAATATCCAATATGCTGACACTGAACCCCCTTCCAAGCCAGCTCCCACCCCATCTCACAGCCAGGTCCTGTGCCAGCACCTGCTGAAAGTCCCCAGGTGCCAAGAGGAAGGGCCAGCTGGCTCCTCCCAGCTAGGGATTCCCCCGGCAGGAGGAAGTCCGCCTCCTAGGGAAATGAGGCTACTGCTTCTGCAGTACCTTGAGCCAATGGAGACTGCTTTGCTCCTAAGCAGGATGCCTTTCTGCTCTGCTTAGAGGCAAGCAGCTCTGTGTTTCTCAATGCCCAGACCCCATTCCCATGACCCTGGTCCCCAATAAAGAGAAAAAAAAAACATTAGTTATCCTCTTTAATATCCACTTCTCAACATTTTGTCACAATAATAATAAAAATAATATCTGTTTTCAAAATCCACAGGAAATGATCAAGGAAGGAGCTTGTCTTGGGCTCTTACCCCCCGCCCCCTTTGGGCACTTCTGGCCAAGTCCCAGGCTCTTTGGCTTTCCTGCCACCAGGTCCAGCCCCTCTTAGTACCTGAAGGACTGGATGAGTCTTCTTGGACCCATCCTTGCCCCCACCGGGTCAGTAGACAGTATCCTGGGGAGTTGGGGGCTAGGTAGAGTCAAGGGATAAATGGAGGCATGGAAAGATCAAGGCTTGGGCTGGGAATGTGGCTTAGTGGTAGAGCGCTTGCCTAACGTGCATGAAGCCCTGGGTTCGATTCCTCAGTACCACATACACAGAAAAAAAAAAAAGCCAGAAGTGGTGTTGTGTCTTAAGTGGTGGAGTGCTAGCCTTGAGCAAAAGAAGCACAGGGACAGTGCTCAGGCTCTGAGTTCAAGCCCCAGAACTGGCAAAAAAAAAAAAAAAAATTAAAAAGAAAGAGAGAAAAAAAAGAAGAGAAAGAAAAAGAGAGGGGGGAAAAAGATCAAGACTTTGGGAGCTAGTGATGGAGAAGAGGAGGACTGTACGAGATCAGGAATATGTGGGCCAGGAAACACGTGAACAAGCCTTGGCAGCTGTCAGGGGGCAGGTGTGTGTTCAGGAGTGGCTTAGGGCAGGGCAGAGAGCTAGGTGAGGAGGAGCCTTGCAGGTCTGCTGGGAAACCAGGGCTCCTCAGTGAACTTGGAAAAGTCCAAAATAGGTGAGGAAGGGGGCAGCCTTGAGATGGGCCCAGGGAAGAGTGCGGATCCGCAGGGAGGATCCTAGCCTCAAAGGCAACAGCCCAGACACCTGGCAGAGGCGCAGCTGGGGCCCCGGGGAACTGGCTGCGGTGGCTGAGAACTCCTCCAGGCATCGAAGGGTCAGCACATCATCCACCAGCAAGTCCAGCTTCAGGTAGACAGCCTTCCCCTCATCAAAGTGCACCTGGGGTGGGAGGAGGGCAGGTAGAATACAGGCCCGTCAATGTAAATGTCCTGAGAGACCCAGATATCCATTTCTTCCCAAGCCCCAAACAAGCCTTTAGCTCATCCCTTTCCTTTCTTCCTTCCCCTAAACCAAACCCTTTTCCCTGCAGTTATGGCTTGGTCCATAGAGCCAGATGGGGCTTACCTGACAGTACAGGTAGTAGAGCCCAGCCCTGGTAACTGTAAATTCCCCATTCTGGCGGTTGTAGCGTAGAGGGCTGGAGCTGTTGATTTTGGCTTCTTCCCAGCCACTCACTATCCCATCCACACCTGGATGTGAATGTTTAGATAAGGAAAAGTACCTTTAGAGGACCCACATACTCCCCAAGCATTCACTGAGTTTATAAATGTAGGATCTACCTTACCCAGAAAGGATAGAGCCAGGCCCTATGGAGCCCACAGTGTAATAACCTGTTGTGTGAAGAAATCTAACATATATGACCAGAAATGTTCAGGACAAATGATCACCAATGGTTGCTTCTGGAAAAAAAAAATAAAGTATAGGATAGAAGGAGAAATGGAGGTGGGGCACGCTGGGAATGTGGCTTAGTGATAGAGTGCTTGCCTAGCATGCATGAAGCCCTGGGTTCGATTCCTCAGCCACATAAACAGAAAAAAGCTGGAAGTGGGGCTGTGGCTCAAGTGGTAGACTGCTAGCCTTGAGCACAGAGAGACTCAGGGTCAGTGCCCAAGCCCTAAGTTCAAGCCCCAGGACTGGCAATAAAATAAAATAGAAGGAGAAATGTGGGGCCTTTCACATTTTATTTCATCTACACCTACCTTGTTTCCCTGTTTTATGTTAATATTGTTTGATTCAAGCCAGGTGCCGGTGGCTCATGCCTGTAATCCTAGCTACTCGGAAGGCTCAGATCTGAGGATCGGGGTTCAAAGCCAGCCCAGACAGGAAAGTCTCTTATCTCCAGTAACTACCAGAAAACCCGGAAGTGACACTGTGGCTCAAGTGGTAGAGCACTAGCTTTGAGCTGAAGAGCTCAGAGACAGGGCCCAGGCCTACAGTTCAAGCCCCACAACCAATTTTTTTTTAAATTATTTGATTCATTAGAATTAAAAAGAAGAGCTTAGATCTGAGGATTAAGGTTCAAAGTAAGACCAGGCAGGAAAGTCTGTGAGACTTACCTCTAATTAATATACAAAGAAGCTGGGAATGAAGCTATAGCTCAAGTGGTAGAGCGCTAGCCTTGACCACAAAAGCTCAGGGACAGTGCCCAGGCCCTGAGTTCAAGCCCAGAACTGGCACACACACATGAAAATTATAATGAAATGACATCCAAATGTCTATCAGATAATAAATAAACAAAATATGGACTATTATTCAGCTATATCAAGGAACAAAGTACTACAGTACTACAGAGTACTACAGTTTATGCCTGTAATCCTAGCTACTCCAAGAAGCTGAGATCTGAGGATTATGGCTCAAAGCCTGCCCCAGGCAAGAAAGTCTAAGAGATTCTTATCTCCAATTAACCATCAAAAAGCCAGAAGTGGAATGTGGTGTAAAGTGGTAGAACACTAGCCTCAAACAAAAAGTTCAGGGACAGTGCCCAGTGCCTGAGTTCAAGCTTTTGGACCAGCACAAAAAAATAAAGGTCTAGGCTGGGAAGGTGGCTCAGTGGTAGAGAGCTTGCCTTGCATGCATGAGGCCCTGGGTTCGATTCCTCAGCACCACATAAGCATAAAGAAAAAAGCCAGAAGTCGCGCTGTGGCTCAAGTGGTAGAGCGTTAGCCTTGAGCTAAAGAGCTGAGGGATAGCGCCCAGGCCCAGAGTTCAGGCCCCATGACCAGACCCCCAAAATAAATAAATAAATAAATAAAGGTCTGGGATGTAGCTCAGTGGCAAAGCACTTGCCTAGCAAGTGCAATGTCCTGGGTTCGATCCCAGTACCAAAAAAAAAAAAGACCAAAAAAAATGTTTAAAAATTAAATAAGTAAAACAAAAATAAATACAAAGGAATAAAGTACGGGTGCATAGTACCATGCAGATTAACCAGAAAAACATTATGGTAAGTAAAAGAAGCCACCACATTTAAAGGTAATATCTGGAATTGGCAAATCTATAGAAACAGCAAGTAGATTATCAGGAGTTTAGGACTGGGGACTGATGGGACTAGGAAGTGATAAGCTTAAAGGTACAGGACTTCTTTCTTCTTTTTCTTATTTGTTTGTTGGTGGTGGTAGAATTTCACTATACAACCCAGACTGGCCTTGAACCTGTGATCTTTCTGTCTCCTGGTATATACTCCTGCCATGCCCAGCTTCATAACTTCTTTTTGAGATGAAGAAAATGTTTTAAAATCACTGTGATGGATGGGCTGGGAAGGTAGCTCAGTGGTAGAGCGCTTGCCTTGCATGCATGAGACCCTGGGTTTGATTCCTCAGCACCACATAAGCAAAAAGAAAAAAAAAAAAAAAGAAATGTACTCATTACCTGACTTATGTAGCTGTAACCCCTCTATATATCCTTCATAATAACAATAAAAAGTAAAAGATTACAAAAAGAATAATTTAAAAAAATCACTGTAATGGGGCTGGGAATGTGCCTTAGTAGTAGAGTGCTTGCCTACTATGCATGAAGCCCTGGGTTTGATTGCTCAGTACCACATAAATAGAAAAGGCTGGAAGTGGCGCTGTAGCTCAAGTGGTAGAGTGCTAGCCTGAGCAAAAGAAGCTCAGGGACAGTGCCCAGGCCCTGAGTTCAAGCCCCAGGACTGGCAAAATAAAAAAATAAAAAATAACTGTGATGGCTGGGTTCTGATGACTCAAGTTTATAATTCTAGTTACTCAGAAGGCTGAGATCTGAGGATTGAGGTTCAAAGCCAGCCTGGACAGAAAAGCCTGAGACTTATCTCCAATTAACTACTAAAAAGCTGAAAGTAGAGCTGTGGCTCAAGTGATAGAATGCCAGCTTTGAACTAAAAAGTCAGAGCGATCATGAGGTCTGGAGTTCAAGCCCCAGTATCAGCACCAAAAAAAATAAATAAATAAAATAAATAAATAAAATAAGTACCCAGGTGCGGTGGCTCACACCTGTAATCCTAGTTACTCAGGAGGCGGAGACAGGATTGGGGCTCAAAGGCAACCCACGCAAGAAGGCCTGTGAGATTCTTATTGCCAATTAACTACCAAAAAAGGTAGAAGTGGACTTGTGGCTCAAGCATTAGCCTTAAGTACAAAAGTTCAGGGACAGCCCAAGCCCTAAATTTAAACCCCATGACTGGCACCAAAAAAATAAAAATAAAAATAAAACTGTAATCCTCAAATTTCAGCCTCCTGAGTACTAGGATTGCAGGAGCCCAGCTCTGCTTTTATTTATTTTTTGCAGTACTGGGATTTTTCTTTTGTGTGTGTGCCAGTCATGGGACTTGAACTCAGGGCCTAGACATTGTCTCTGGGCTTCATTTGCTCAAGGCTAGCATTCTACCACTTGAGTCACAGCTCCATTTCTAGCTTTTTTTTTTGGCACAGGGAAGGGGGAAAGGGGAGGGGGAGTAGGTTTGGAAATAAGAGCCTCACAAACTTTCCTGCCCACACTTGCATTGAACCGTGATCTTCGGATCTCAGCCTACCAAGTAGCTAACATTATAGGTGCAAGCAAATGGTGCCCAGACAGAATTTGAACTCAAGACTGTGCTTGCTAGGGAAGAGCTTTGCCACTGAGTCCTGTCTCAGCCCTTTTTTGCTTTAGTTATTTTATTTATTTGTTGTTGTTATTGGTTGTGGGTGCTGTCCCTCAGCTCTTCAGCTCAAAGCTAGAGCCCGACCGCTTGAGCCACAGCATCACTTTCGGCTTTTTTCTGCTTATGTGTTACTGAGGAATCAAACCCAGGGCTTCATGCATGCGAGGCAAGCACTCCACTGAGCCAACGTCCCAGCCCTGCTGCTCTGGTTATTTTATTTTATTTTATTATTTTTGGCAGTTGTGGGGCTTGAACTCTGGGCCTGGGCACTGTCCCTCAGCTCTTCAGCTCAAGGTGAGCGCTCTACCACTTGAGCCACAGCACCACTTCCGGCCTTTTTTTTCTGCTTATGTGATGCTGAGGAATCGAACCCAGGGTCTCATGCATGCAAGGCAAGCACTCTACCACTGAGCCACTTTCCCAGCCCCTGCTCTGGTTATTTTTTAAGATAGGGTCTTACATTTTGCCCTGGCCGGTCTAGACCTGGATCCTTCTATTTACATTTCCCACCAAGCTGGGATGACAGACTGTGCCACCATACTCAGTTTATTTTGTTGAAAGAAGGGCCTTGTGAATATTTTTGCCCTGTCTGGTCTGTAACTTGAATCTTCTCAATCTCAGCTTCCCACATGGCTAGGAGGCAGGTGTGTGCTACTATGCCAGCTACTGGCAAGATAAGGTCCTGAACTTCAATTGCAAATATCCACTTCTTTGAGTAAGTAGGACTATAGAGGTGACGTGGGCATTGGGCCACACTAGGTTTTGTTTGTTTGTTTTATTACCAATCGTAGGCCTTGAACTCTGGGCCTGAGCCTATTCATGAGCTTTATCTGATCAAAGCTAGTACTCTACTACTTAAGCCACAGCTCCACTTCCAGTTTTTTTGGAGGTTAATTGGAGATAAGAATCCCATGGACTTTCCTGCTTTGGCTGCTTTTGAATTTCAGTCATCAAACATCAGCCTTCAGAGTAGACAGGATTATAGGTGTGAGCTATCTTGCCTGGCCTAGTTTTTTGTTTTGTGTGTGTGTGTGTGTGTGTGTGTGTGTGTGTGTTTGCTGGCTGGTACCAAAATGGATTTCAGGGGCTTGTACCTGCTTGGTTTACTTGTGTACTTAGCACTCTAAACCCTTAAGCCATGCCTCCAGCCACTTTTTTTTACTAGTTATTTTGGAGATAGAGTTTCATAAACTTTTCTGAGCTAGTTCTGGATGACTATTCTCCAGATCTCAGCCCCTGAATAGCTAGGGTTACAGATTTGAGCCTTTTTTTTTTTTTGTCTGTCATGGGGCCTGAACTCTGGGCCTAGACACTGTCCCTCAGCTCTTCAGCTCAAGGCTAGCGCTCTACCACTTGAGCCACAGCACCACTTCTGGCTTTTTCTGCTTATGTGATACTGAGGAATTGAACCCAGGGCCTCATGCATGCAAGGCAAGCGCTCTACCACTGAGCCACCTTCCCAGCCCCATATTACTTTTTGATGACTCAAATTGCATTTCTGACTTGGCTTCTGGCTTCTGTTTTTTCATGTGTTTCCCCCCCCCCTCAGCTCTTTCCCCTCTCCCTCCCTCTAGCAGTTTCTGCTTCAACCATGCAGAACTTCTTGCCTCCTCTGGACTCTTAGCAAACTTTCAAAACATGGTTCCTTTATTTGCAATGTCCTCGATGCTTGGTCCATCTTATTATCAGGCTGCAAGGCCAGTGAGGCCTCATTGTCCTAGGAAGGAGTCCCCAGTTCCTCTGTAAGATGCTTTGTGGTGCCATGCATCTTGGGCTCCCTTCATTATCGCTCTTGTTGCATGACACAATAATTACACATGTATCTACTATTTTCTGTCCTCCACAGTGACTCCTTGAGCCCAGGTCTGGGTGTGATTTGCTGAGAACACCTAGGTCCCTGGCGAGCAGCACGTTCCTGATGCACGTGTGTTGAGTCACTGAGAGAAGGAATGCCTGAAAAACTACCCAAACAAGCAGCCTTTTGTGTGTTTGTGTATGTGTACGTGAGAGAGAGAGAAAGAAAAGAGAGAGACACAGACACAGAAGTAGAAACAGAAGACAGAGATAGACAGAAAGACAGACAGACAGATAGACAGATAGAGTATTGGGACTTGAACTCAGGGCCTAGAAACTATCCATTAGATTTTTCACTCAGGCTGGAGAGAGCTCCAGCTTTGTGGCGGACACCACTTGAATCACAGCTCTACTTCTGGCTCTGCAGTGATTAAATGGAGATAAGAGTCACGGAGTTTTCCTGCCAAAGCTGGCTTTAAACCATGGTCCTGCCAGGTGCTGGTGGCTCACGCCTGTAATCCTAGCTACTCATGAGGCTAAGATCTAAGGATCAGGGTTCAAAGCCAGCACAGACAGGAAAGTTCACGATTTTTTTTTTTTTCAGTCATGGGGCTTGAACTCACCCTGGGCTCTGTCCCTTAGCTCTTTCAGTTCAAGTCAAGCACTCTATCACTTGAGCCACAGCGCCACTTCCAGGTTTCTGGCTGCTTATTGTAGATGAGAGTCTCATGGACTTTCCTACCCTGGCTGGTTTTGAACTGTGATCCTCAGATCTCAGCCTCCTGAGTAGCTAGGAGGTAGCCACCAGCACCTAGCCATCATGAGCCTCTTATCTCCAATTAACCACCAGAAAACTGGAAGTGGTGCTGTGGCTCAAGTGGTAGAGCACTAGCCTTGAGCTGAAGAGCTGAAGGCCCAGAGTTCAAGCCCCGTGACCGACAAAAAAACAAAAATCAGCCGGGCACCAGTGGCTCATGCCTGTAATCCTAGTTACTCAGGAGGCTGAGATCTAAGGATCACAGTTCAAAGCTAGCCCGGGCAGGAAAGGCCATGAGACTCTTATCTCCAGTAAGCCACCAGAAAACCGGAAGTGGCACTGTGGCTCAAGTGGTAGAGCACTGGCCTTGAGCTGAAGAGCTCAGGGACAGCACCGAAGCCCAGAGTTCAAGCTCCACAACTAACCAAAAACAAAAACAAAAGTCTCTATTACATGACATTGTGAATCTTTTCTTTCTCTTATTCGTGTGTGTGTGTGTGTGTGTGTGTGTGTGTGTGTGTGTGTCATGGGGCTTGAACTCTGGGCCTGGGCACTGTCTGTGAGCTCTTTAGCTCAAGGCCAGCTCTCTACCATTTCAGCCACAGTACCACTTTTGGTTTCCTGGTAGTTACTTGGAAATAAGAGTCTCATGGACTTTCTTGCCCGGCTTGGCCTTGAACCTCGATCCTCAGATCTCAGCCTCCTGAGTAGCTAGAATTACAGGCATGATCCACTGGCACCCAGCTTCTTTCTCTTGTTCTTCACAACAACCCACAAGTAAACCACATTCAACCCGTCTACTTCTCTCCATCTGCTGCTAACATCCCAGACCAAGCCACTCTCAAGTCTTGCTTCCTGGCTTTCACGATGGAAGGGCACTCCAGAGGAGGGACTAATATGTTCAAAGTCCAGAAAAGGTACACTGGGACATAGGCTCGTCAGCCCCACAGGCATGGACAATGCATAAGTGGATGCCAGAAAGTGGGGTAGAGATCAGACCCCAGAACAGCTGGAGGTCAAAGAGAAGCATGATGGGATAATAAAGTAGAGGCATTTTTGTGAGGGGAGGGCCTTAGCTTTAGCAGCAGAAGCCTGACAGAGTGTGTGTGTGTGGGGGGGGAGAGTAAGGAATGGGATGGGGCCGGAGCTGGGTTTGAAGTTCAGAGGTCATGGGGTAGGAATGGAAAAGCTGAGCAAAGACTACATGTGTTTGGAGGATTATTGATCAGGGCAGGAAAACACATGGAGTTCAGACAGGAAAGAAAAGGAAGGAATCATGGCTGCTTCTTGGAAAACACAGCACTGAAGGAGAAAGCTAGGGCCACTGGTGTGGTGTGTCACTGGATTGGGTGCTGTGATGGGAAGGGTCTTCTAAGTTCCCATGCTTGATGAACGAGGCACCTGTTTAAGAATGAGGCACTGAGGCTTTTAGGAATTGCCTTCTGGGATTCCTCAGTGGAAGGCAGGGGAGGGGATTGGGAAATCAAAAGTTTGGGACCCTTTTCCCTAGAGGCCACTGCTGTGGGGGGGGCAACGGGAGGTATCAGAGGTAGAGATGGGGGTCTCACCCGCCTGTGCTCCATCTTGTCCCGGTTGTGGATGAACTGTAAGACACAGGGAAGGATGAAGGAGACCTGCCTCACCCCCCGTCCGTGCCACCCCTCCTCTGCGCATGCTCACCTATCACCCACCTTCATAGTGGGCTGCAATCACTCTGCGAGCCCGAATTTTCCGGCCTTTAGGGGCTGAAAATCAAGGAAAGACAGATGAGTAGAACAGAGCTTTTCCAGGGGAGGTGGGGGGCCCAAGAACCAGTCTTTGGCCTGGCATCCTTAGTTTAGCCCAAGTCTCCTAGCTAAGAAGCCAAGCCCTTAGCATCGGTGGCTCAAGCCTGTAATCAATCCTATCTACTCAGAAGGCTAAGATCTAAGGAACGTGGTTTGAAGCTAGCCCTAGATTCGTATCTCCAATTAACTAGCAAAAAGCCAAAAGCGGTGCTGTGGCTCAAGTGGTAGAGTCCCAGCCCTGAGCAAAACAAAAAAGCTCAGGACCTACACCAAATAAATAAATAAATCACACAGAGATAACAGGCTTAGGCCAAAATAGTCCCACTCATGCAAACATGAATACATGGTCATATGACCATGCCAGTCATAAATGTCTTTGCTTACTGAGGCCCAGGCCTCTGACTCCCCCACTTTGTCCTCATGAGGACTCCAGAGGTCATCCTAACCCATTTGGGGGATGATCCGTGGGAAGCAGTTTCATGTGACAAAAGGAGCTTCTCAAGGGAGGGTTATCATCCTCAGGTTCCAGTCTTAACTGGTTAGCTGCATGACTCATTTCATACTCGGTGCCTCTTTCTGTGTGAAGACAATGGTTTTTACTCTGTCCACTTCAGAGGGCTTTTATGAAGTGACCAGCAAGACTGATCACTTGTCACTCCTGAGGATGAGAGAGAGGCATGCTCACCACTTCGGCGGGGCCGGACGAGACGTTTCAGGAAAGGCATGACATCCTGGCTTGTGTCTGTCTGGGAATTCAGTTCCTAGGGGAATTAAGATCGGGACTCAACCAGGGCTTCTCAGAGACAGGATGGAGCCCAGCAGGGCCTGTCAGAAGAGCCACCAGTCACGAATAGCCAAGAAAGTCCAAGGGAGCACCAGGTGCTAGTGGCTCATGCCTGTAATCCTAGTTACTCAGAAGGCTGAGGTCTAAGGATTTCAGTTCAAAGACAGCTCCAGCAGAAAGTCTAGGAGACTCCAATTACCCTCCAAATTCACTTCTGAATAACCACCAAAGGGTTGGAATAGAGCTGTAGCTCAAGTGGTAGAGTACCAGCCTTGAGCAATAAAGCTCAGGGACAAGTACCCAGGCATTTGAGTTCAAGCCCCAGTACACACACACACACACACACACACAGGAAAAGAGAAAGAAAAAGTCCAAGGGACGGATCAATCAAGCGTGTAGATAAAGTGTGTAGGCCTAGTTTTCAGCCCGTTCTGGAGACCAGTCAAATCTTCCCAGGCCTCCATCCTTCTTCAGCATAGACCCTGCACTCTGCTGATGTGTTGCACACCTGTCCACAGTCAGCGTGCACAAGTGGTACACACCCCTCACACAACAGCATCCACCTCCTTGTGGAAGGTTCCTAGCAACCCCACTTCACCCACAGCCAATCAATGCTTCCTATCAGATGGCAAACACTCAGGAACTCCCCCCTCCACACCCTCTCTCTCTCTCTCTCTCTCTCACACACACACACACACACACACACACATGCCATGCATGCTGGTGCACTCTCTACCCTCACAGAAACACACACCCCAGCGTGCAAAACTTCATGCACACACAGCCCACAGCCACACACACATGCTGCTGCATACAGCGGAGACAGCCAGCACACCCTGCGGCCCGAGCGCTGCCACAGATTTCCCCTACCCACACCTGGCACATGGCATCCACACCTACTCACCGGGGGCTCCAGGTCTTCCTCAGCCACCAGCTCCTCCTGGGAAGGCTCCTGCTGGGAAGAAGGCAGCGTCACCCTGTCCTCCACCTGACTTCTTGTCCTCTGCTCATCCGCCAGTCCCCTGGCCCTCTGCCCACCCGGCCCCCATCTGCTGCTCCAAATGTGCCCGGGAAGGGGTGTGCTGAGGGCCTCACCTGGCCTGAGAGCGATGCCCGGCTCCCCAGGCTGACCATAGCCAGCAGGAGGCCAAGGCAGGCCAGCGCCAGGCCCAGGCCCAGCACGAGTGGGGCCAGCAGGGCGGTGCCAGGCTCCCCCCGGCGCCCCCTCCGCCTCTGGCTCCGACGGGCGGCCATGGGGGCGGGGGGCTGTGCCTGCCTCACCGCCCCCCCATCCCTGGACCCGAGGGATGGGGGGAGGGGGAGCCGGCGGGCGGAGCGGGCTGGGGAGAGGGAGGGGCCAGGGAAACGGGGCGGGGGTGGGGGTGGATGAGGACAGGAAGCCGGACACTGTTTGTGAGTGATTAAACTCCAGCCCTCGGCGGCAGAGTCCAGTGCACAGAGGGAGCGCGCACCGGCCCGCCCGAGCCACCCCGGCCCCCGAGGCCCACCGTGCCCAGGCGGTGCCCAGGCGGTGCACGCGGGCCGGGGAGCATGTACGCGCCAGGACGGCCACTCTGGGACAGCGGTGACACACTCCAAGGCCTTGGAGAGAGAGCGATCAGAAATAGGCCGGGGGCCCCAGCCAGGGGCCGGGCCCTGGAACTCCTACAGGGCTGGCCCTGTCCACATCAGCCCTAGACAGTGTGCGGCCAGGGCTGTCATTTCCTCAGCCAGCACTGTCTGGGGCATCATCCGCCCTGATCGCTGTGGGATTTTATCAGTGACACCCAAGGGCAATCCCAGGAGTAACGTGAAGCCTGCAGACAGCCATTCACTTGGGCCGTGTTTTCTTCTCTTTTTCAGTCTAGCTCTGGGTAGGTCGTTTAAGTGTCTGCACGCCGCAGCCAGAGAGGGCAAGCGGAACAAGTGGAACAAGATGTTTCTGGAAATCCCAGTACTATTTCTGTTATCATGGGGCTATGGAGTACAAGGTAGAGATCAACCCCATACATGAATTGGGTAAATCCTGGGTCTTTTTTTTTTTGGGGGGGGGGAGGAAAACAGTGTTGTAAACAAGCAAGTTTCTCAAAGCTCCATTTAAGCTGTACTGTTCACTCCTGCACATTGGTGTTGAAAAGTACTATAAAACAATTCTATCGCAAGGCCAATCATGGTGTGTGTGTGTGTGTGTGTGTGTGTGTGTGTGTGTATCTAGGCTGTAGCTCAGTGTCTAGAATGCATGACTTTAGGTTTGAATCTCAGAGTGGCATAAATAAATAAATACAACTAATTACCTTGGGCACCAGTGATTCATGACTGTAGTCCTAGCTACACAGGAAGCTGATATCTGGAGGATTGCAGTTCAAAGCCAGCCAGGATGAAAAATCTGCAGGACGAACCAGCACAAAGCAGGCTAGAGGGGTAGCTGAAGTAGTAGAGCACTTGTCTGGGAGCAAGAAAGCTGAGCAAGTGTGAAACCCTAAATTCAGGCACTGGTACTAGCATGCACACACACATACACACACTAATAACAACAACAATAACAATAACACTAAAATGAAGCTGTGGATCTGAATAAGGTGAGAACATTGACAGCTGCCTGTTGTTCTCAGTCCCCGCCTCTTCCTCTCCCTGCTTTTCTTTCTCCCCCATTTCCTCTCTGTTCTGGAATCTGCTGGGGTCTTCTGCTTCAGATCACCTTTAACCCCAACTTCAAGGGAGTTTTTCAGATCATCTTTTAAAATTAGGATCCCCAACTCTTCTCAATCTCTATACTGACTTGCACATTTTCTCTTTCTTCCCCCTTTTTTTTTTTCTGTCAGTCATGGGTTTTGAACTCTGGGCCTGGGCATTGTCCCCGAGCTCTTCAGCTCAAGGCAAGTGCTCTACCACTTAAACTACAGCACCACTTCAGGCTTTCTGGTGGTTAATTGGAGATAAGAGTCTCATGGACTCTCCTGCCTGCACTGGCTTTGAACCAAGATCCTCAGATCTCAGCCTCCTGAGAATCTAGGATTACAGGCATGAGCAACCGGTACCTGCCACAATTACAGTATTTTTGACTACTTGGATATTTATCTCCCCAACTACATTGGAAAATATTGTAAATGTCACAAGTATTATAAATCTTCTTCCCATCTCATCCCCTAGAGTGCTACAGACTGAACTCAGGGCCTTTGGTATACTAGGCAAGCATTAGCTATACCCTTAGGTCCCCCAAGTCACTTGACAAAAACTATGTCAAGTATAGTCTAGTAGAGAGACAAGCAGAGTCCAAGACTCTTTCCCTATCTCCCTGTATCATTTCAGAAAAGAATGAAATTTCTTTTTTTGGGTGTGTGTGTGGGGTCCGGTCATGGGGCCTGAACTCTGGGCCTGAGCGCTGTCCCTCAGCTCTTCAGCTCAAGGCTACCGCTCTACCACTTGAGCCACAGTGCCACTTCCGGCTTTTTTTCTTTTTGCCTATGTGGTGCTGGGGAATCGAACCCAGGGCCTCATGCATGCAAGGCAAGCGCTCTACCACTGAGCCACCTTCCCAGCCCCTCCCTGTATCATTTCAGAGTCATAAAAACAAGGATGTCACTGGGCACTGGGGACTCACACCTGTCACTCTAGCTACTCAGGAGGTTGAGATCTGAGGATCGAGGTTTAAAGCCAGGCCAAGAGGAAAGCTCCTGAGATTTATATTCTATGTACCACACACATAAAAAACAGAATTAGAGGTCAAGGAAAGAAGGTCCGGATGCAAGTTGATCTTTAAGATTGTTGTCTGAGTTGGTGAAAGAACTAAGGGAAACACGAGGAGAGTGCGTGTGCAGTGGAGAAAGCTGGCTTGGACTGGAGGAAATGCTCCATAAGAATCTTCCCTGCTGGGGCTGGGAAGGTGGCTCAGTGGTAGAGCGCTTGCCTTGCATGCCTGAGGCCCTGGGTTCGATTCCTCAGCACCACATAAGCAAAAAGGAAAAGGCCAGAAGTGGCGCTGTGGGTCAAGTGGTAGAGCGCTAACCTTGAGCTGAAGAGCTGAGGGACAGTGCCCAGGCCCAGAGTTCAGGCCCCACGCCCGGACCCCCCCCCCCAAAAAAAAAAAAAGAATCTTCCCTGCCATAAGCCCTCTTCCTTGGGTTGCCAGACAGCTCCCCAGTCTGAAAGTCTAACCCATGCAAAGGCAATGCTTACTTTCTTGAAGTAATTCACTCTCCTTTCTCAATTTCCCTGCCACTGAGGGCACTGAGCTCAGCGCTTTTTTTGTAGGTTGTTGCTTGGGACGTGAACTCTGCACCTGCCAACCAAGCCATACCTCCAAACCCAGGCAAGGGCTTTTGAAGCAGAAAACGAAGATAAACATGGAAACTCTGTGGTTGAGATCTGACTGTGATATGTAATAACATTTTTTTTTATCAATTTACTTCAGTCTAGAGGTGATATACAGAGGGATTACGATTTTGTAATGAGTACATTTCCTTTCAGACAGGGTCTTCGGTTCCCTCCTTCTTTTTGTAATGAATATTTAGTTCTTAGATTTCCACGGTCTTTGATCATTTGTCAGATATTTCCAAGGGCCTCTGTCAATCTGAATACTGGTCATATGGGAACAACTAGAAAAGAAAACAGGGTTTCGGATTCAAGGCCAGGCATATTACTTTGCTTCCAATTCTTCCTCAGATACTTTTGAAAGATAGGAGAAAGAACATGGTGTGTGTGTGGGGGGCAGGAGTGACATCCAAGTCTGATTGTTAGGCTGCTAGGGAAAGGCTAAAATCTGGTCAGAAGCAAAAGAGAGAAAAAGAGAGCCTGGGAACTTGGGATTACTTGGAAGTCTGCAAGACAGGGCAACAGCACTATTGATGACTCTACCTCCCTACCCAGAAGGCATTTTCCATTATTTCCATCCTGTGTTGGGAGCCAGAGATATGAGGGAGCAACAGTCCTGAGCCTTGTTGACCCTGTGTGATGGCCTGAAGCAGCCACAGATGATTGGGTTGGGAGGCATAGAAAGAGGGTGTTTTTCTCATCTCCACCTTTAAGCTAGACATTGAGTTCAGCTAGCTCTAACTGCAGGCCTTCTGTTTCCTATTATTGCTGAAGCTGCTGGTACCTGCTGAAAGCAACTTGTCACAAACATCTTGACCTGTCCCTGCTCTTCCTTGTGCAAAAACCCTGTATAAATAAATGCACTGAACCACAATTTGGGACGCTTCAGTCTCCCAGATTTCTGGATACTGACAGTCCATCTGGTCCCAACTTTCTTTAGAGAGAGAGAAACAGCTTGACACAGCTGGTCTGAGGCACGTGGCGCCTGAACAGGGAGCCGAATCTGGGTATGAGGAAATGTCTCTGGCTTAAAGGTAAAGGAGATGCTCTCGGTAGGGGTCTGATATACTAGGGAGATTATAGCCAGATAGAATGGGACAAAATGGGCTGGAAAGGTGGCTTAGTGGTAGAGTGCTTGCCTAGCATGCATGAAGCCCTGGGTTCAATTCCTCAGTACCACATAAACAGAAAAGACCAGAAGTAGCACTGTGGCTCAAGTGGTAAAACACTAGCCTGGAGCAAATGAAGCCCAGGGAGAGCACTCAGGCCCTGAGTGCAAGCCTTGGACTAGCAAACAAGCAAACATGTAACAGTGTAAATCAGCAGAGTGAGATCTGTATTGCAGACTCTCAAAGCTATGCTGAAAATGAAGGGAGCTACAAGAATTTTTAAACTTTGTGCAAGAGACTTGTCCTTGGTTCCCAGAGCAGAGTATTGGGGAAAGGTCAGCAAAAGATTAAAGGATGGAAATACAGTGGAGGAACCTGACAGTGTTCCCATATTTACTTTCAGTTTGCAGATGTTTATCAATGATCAGTGTTGGGTTAGGAAGGTGCCTTCCTCCTCTACACCCAACAGAGGTATAATTCAAAACTTTTCCTCTTCAGTACAAGGATGTGAGCAGCTCAGAGACAACAACAGTAAAGAACAGTAAACAAGCAGAAGGAGCTAGTACCCCTGTGGCCACAGGCTCAGACCCTGAATCAGAAAAAAAGCAATTCAGAAGGGGACACTGATCATGACACAGACTACAATCATGTGGCTAAAAACAATTAACCTCTCTCTCATGTCATGAACCTAAGGCTTCCAGCTTGATGAAAAAGATGCTTCAGCCGGGCGCCAGTGGCTCACACGTGTAATCCTAGCTTCTCAGGAGGCTGAGATCTGAGGATCACGGTTCAAAGCCAGCCTGGGCAGGAAAGTCCGTGAAATTCTTATCTCCAATAAACCACCAGAAAACCGGAAGTGGCAC